TAGCAACCGAGAAGGACCTACGACCGGGCTTATGACCACGCTTGATTCGCATCGGCGGTGAAATCGGCCACGATCGATGGCCATATATCGCGTCAGCTTCTTGGATTCGATCTCGTTCCAACCGTCTAATCATCGGCTAATTACTTCTTATCGACTCGACTCTTCGTCAGTTTTCGTTCCGTCGTGACAACAACGATGAAATTCGTAATTTCGGAATGGTATTCTAATCGCCGGGTAAATGCAGCGAATGGAAATATGGAATATCGAAGCTCGGGAAATTCGCGACACGCAGACTTACGTACGCGAAAGTTCAATGCAACGGTGCAAAATGCTAATGACATTTACATTTTGCCGATTCACTTCGAGGCCCGAGAACGCATCATCTTTCAAGCCTGCATCGCGCCTTTTATGTAAATACGCGAACGCGTCGAACTAAACAGTCGGAACGAAAAAGCACTGCATGTGCCTATTCAAAACTAACGACAGCGAGAGTCGTGCGAGGCATCGAAACGCTATGAGCAACGGAAGAAATATTCACTCAACTTCGCCTCGCGTGCAACATATCGATCCCTGTACGTGGCACTTGTAATAAGTAACAACGCCCGGTTAGCGCAAGCGGGTACAACTCCTGCAAGAGTAAGAGAATGCAAATAAAATATAAAATATAAAATACTCCGAATTTGTCCCGGAAGATTCTCGTTCCCAAGTGACTCCGATTTCGAGTAAAAATGGAATTCAAAGGGGACATACGTATATGGATGAAAATTAAAATGAAATTCAAATAAATCTCGGCAATCGCTTCTCGCTGGGAAAACGAAGGAAATACCGTCGAATCGATTATGTCTCTGAAGACAAGGGAGGGTCCAGCGTGGCCTAGCAGGACGCGTCGCACCCCTGTCTCGAGGGTTAGGAGCCAATAATGGACCATCCTGTGAAGGCTAACCGCAGGTAAATTTCCGCGTTTGAACTACAACTGAACTATAACCGAACTACAGAACCATAACTTTGGTCACCCAGGGCCGCGCAACCCTCGATCTGGGATGAAGAGCAAGCTCAGTGTTTTAAGGAATGGAGTTTCGTCACGTGTCTCAGGTAGACAGTAATTCGACAGGGTTTGCAGTGGAATGGAGAGAGTGACTTACGAAAATGTGGTCCCATATATCGTGCCGAGAAGCAACGAAAAAGAAAAGTATCGAAGAATTAATGGAATAAGAAAGTATTCGCGTTTCGGTTCCATCCTCGTAAAGGTTTCGATCTCAGCAGCCCGAAGAGTAATTGGCAAATGATCTCTAGTAACGATGTCACGGCCTTTATATAGCCAGCTGACTGGCGAAGGTCGGGCGAAGAGGCGCGATCATTATCGTTTCTTCACGATCGCCAATCATTTTTCTTCTTCACCACAATATTCGTACGATTTATTGATTCTCTTACTTTTATTATAAATTTGTGACCTCGGTGATTTATATCGCAACTGTAATAAATCGTATGCACTTGCATAAGCAATGTTTGAATTCTTTATGACTTATGACATTCCGTATCTTGTAACGATTCGACAAATTTTTTGGTCTTATCTTAAGCACGTATTCTCGTCCAGTGGTTACGTATGATATGCGAACGAAGCAACTTCGATTACTACTTTACTATAGTGTCCCGTTATGGTATCGATGTTTCCCCTTTAAAGCGCATATTTCCTCTATCGAATGCCAGCATTCTGTGCACCGCGCGACACATATTTTTACGCTTTTATCGCATTTTACCTACGTATTTTACCCTCTTCATGGGTCGAAAGGTCTGAATGGAATGTAGGTCGATACGAAGCGACGAATGCTATACCGTTCATCGTCGTTTTAACGTAGTTTCCCATGCTTGCGAACCCGCGAGCAGTGTGGAAGAGCCTTGAAACCGGCACGTTCACCGATCCACCGTCTCGTGCAATATTTTCGATCTCTCGAAGACAAACAGCGAGCGCGATCGGCAACGTTGGCAGCTGATGGCTGTTCGGACGAGGGAAAATCCAATTGTACGTGCGTACCGTTACGAAAACAATTTGCGAGGCTCGCGAACGATCGGTGGTCCCAGTGGTGGGTACGCGGATTATCGAACTCGGTACACGAACGCGGGGTACTCGCTGCGAGCCACTCTGGCCACGCGCGTGTCCACCTTTCTGCGGACCCTCGCAAAGAACGCACATTCGCATTATCGTAGAAAATAATGCAACCCGCCCTGACCATGAGGCGCACGAGTAGAATTGTATGTAGGGTGTGCACGCAGCCGTGATGCACATTAATAGGTACACACACGCTTTACCCTCGCGCGCACACGGCTCGCAGGGCTGTCGTGTGTGCGCGTGCAACGGAGAGAACGTTCGCTAACACTCGGCGAAGGGTTCCCACAATCGGTACACAATTGGACTACGAGCGAGTGGCATACACGGTGAGCGGAAAAGTGTACGGAGTGTTCGTTATCCTCCGAACGCTTAATTAAATGGCGCGCGTGGTTCTCGGAGGAAACGAGCGGGATACGCGTTTAAAGTGGAACGAGAATGCGTGAAATATGAAATAAGATGAAATAGTTGCCGGGGTTTCGGTCGTTGCGCGTTAACTTTGCAACATTCCGGTTATCGCATACACCGCGTGCTCTTTTAGAAATAAACGCGTAGGATTTTCCTCGCTCGAAGTCAGCTCGAAGCTGCCGAGTTATCCTGTCGGTTGGAAAAATCGTTTTTGCCGAGTGTCGAGAAATTTTCTCCGTTTCGGGGTGATATTTTTAATTTTATTTTTAACTTCGTACTCGCCTGGCGAGTAGCGAACATTTTCGAGAACTATGCCCAATCGTAGTCGCTTGTGAGCATAAAATGGTATCCAAGGAAAAAGGAATTTCACGCGGGTCATTGAGAAGCTATGCTGAGAATTCGTAACACGAAAAGCCGAAGGGATGGGAACGCGTTCGATACTTTCTTCCGCGTCACCCTGTATGCACAGGTACCAAGCTGCACACGTGTATACAGTCTGTTACGCACACGCACGTAATGCCTTACGCACACGGCTAACCGTAAACCTCCAGTCTTTCAGTTCATGTCGAGACCGCGTACAGTGTGGACTCCTGTGGTTTCCGAAATCCTGGTTCAAGCGTCGCTCGAACGTCGGTCGCGCTCGAGTTTTCGCAGTTCCTCCTCGTTCCTCGCCGACTTCCTATCGCGACGCCTGATCTTCGGCACCGACATCTTGATAGCATGTTGGCGTACATCCTTGGATTCTTTTATTTCTACGCCGAGCTGCTTCGATTAGAGTTGCAAATGCTCGTACATCCGGAGGACTGTAAGCTGTCGAAGTTCATGCTGTGAAGGTGAAAACGGCGAAGGAAAACGACGAGGTCTGCATGCTGAAACGTAGGACGGATTTATCATCGCCGATGGATCGGACGAGATCATCGCACGAATGATCGCGGAGCGCAATTGCCGCGTGTCCTTCATGCTTTTTCGCTCGACCTGCTCAAGGTGGAATCCCAGTTTTCAGTGCAATCGATACTAATTTGCATGAAGCTCGCCAATGCTGGCAAATTTTAATTAACGCTGCACGCGGACCGAAGCATTTCCGCGTGAAAATATCGATCTTCCTCGCGCCGATGGTGGGTGTCATTCCGCGACAAGGGAACCGATAACCGATACCAATTCCCGTTATTCCAGCCGCGGAAAGCTGAAAATGAAGGAGAAACTCGGATCCCGATAACGCGCATTATTCACGCGCGTTTTACCCGCGGTGAATCGAGCGATGCGAATTACCGAAGCACGAAACATCGTGGGATTCCTCATCGATTTACGCGCTTGATCTCGTTCAGTAGCGACCGTTTTTGCGCGCGAGTAGCGGAAAAGTGAAACGTGGAAGAAGAGGAGAAAAGCGTGGAGCAACGATTTCGTTGGCCGATTGTTCGTTTGCCACGCGGACGAAAGGTTCGACGATACTTTGTAATCTATGGAAAACACAGCGACGCAAAGCGCAACGTCCGGCGTTAGCTGCGGAACGAAAAAGGCCTCGCGAAACCGGGCGCATCCGCAGATACGTCGACAAGTGAAAGTGCATTTTGTAAGATGACTGTAACTCCGGATAATGGCGAGTGCAGCCGCCACCGACGCCCCAGTGTGTCAGCAACGATCGTCGAGGGCAACGGCGCGTTCGTTTCTGCTTTCCTGTCCTCGTCGTTGTCATCGTCAACATCGACATTGTCGGCGTTGTCCTCGTGACACGTTGCGGTTCGACATGGATCGTCTCGAAGCGAGAAAACGACGCGCAGTTGCAAACGTAATTAGACGGATTAGTGAAACGCGTAAGCACAGTGACCTCGCGACCATGCCCGTCATCGATCTCCATTAATTATTCATCACGTTGACTTTCTTCCGTCGCTGAAGAAAACCACGAGTTTGTTATGCGCCTGCCTTGCCCAAGGTCGTCCAAGTTGCCACCCTACGAGGAGGAAGCGGAAGTCGAAGGGGCATGACCCTTGCAGGGAATCGGTGAAAGGAACAGAATTCGAACGTCGATCGTCTTTTGTAGGATCCACGGATCCACGAGCATCGAATATGGAAACTATATTGAATTGTAATTGAAGATGTTGCTAGTTTTCCACACGCGCGTACATTAGTCGAAGGTCGAGATGATCTCTTAATCTTCGGCCCCGTATCTGATAATTATTTTTGCTGATAACATTATCTCCGTAAACGCTATTTTTTTCCCGGTCTCCGCTTTTTTTTATTGCCCTTTCGATCGAGATCTAATTTTATCTCTGGTAAATAACAACACGTCGTTACACCTCGCGAGGGCAGGAGATGAGCGTTTCCCGTCGTTAACTCCGATGATTAAGAAGCAGTCTCTTTTTCTTCTCTGTTTTTTTTTTCGTGGCAACTCTTGGTCATCCGGTTCCTTTAACGATGGTAGCTGCTCGTCACGAGATAGCGCAGTCTGTGACCGGTAGTCATACGGAACTTTTTCGCTCCTCTATTGCAGACTTGAATTTATGGAACAAGAGCATCAGTCAACGATGGAGAAAGCTGAGGCGGAGGTGCTCCGTGCAGGAGACCTCGGAACCTCAGGAGGCTTTGATCCAAGGTGGAACGACCCAGGGGGTTATTCAACCCGTAAGGTCCAGCCCGGCTAGCAGGGAGTCCTCGCCTGCAGCCAAAAGTCTTCAGGATGGCAGTTCGCCGAAGAAACTGTTACAGACCAGCTCCCTCAGATTGCCAGGTAATTAATTTTCATTGACCTTATGAGACATTCGGGATACGACGGCTAATAATCGGACGCTGTTTAGGCACCACCAAGGGTATCGCGGACATCCAGCACGTGCTACGAAGCAAATTCAGCAAGATAAACGCTGGCATCCGAAAAAGAAAGGCCCTGAGCGTGACAGAGGTGTTCTCGCAGAAGGATAACGCGTCGAATTTCTACGTGCCCAGTCCCCTGTCCTCCTCGAGTAGCCAGAATTTTGACGGCGAGTGCTACGATTCCAGCGAACCGACTTCTCTACCACCCTATCCTTTCCACGACAACCTCGAAACTCTGGCAGAGGGCAGCGTACCAAACTCTCCAAATTGCAGTAGCCCATTGACGAACAGCAACAAGACGTTCACGTACTCTCAGACTAGCAGCGCTTACGATTCCCCGGTCCTGAGTCACGAGCAGAGTCAAAAAGACGTGTACGAGAACGTATTGTACAACAACTCCCCTCCAGGATGTTGCCCGAGGTCCAGAGGCGTGTTACAACGCAGCAACTCTGAGAATCGTGACACTGGCAGACACCAGGATCATTCGTACGAGAACGTACGCTTCCAGCGGGGTCACAGGTCGGACCTAACATCATCCGTCACGCCACATTCCGACAGGCATCTGGCGAGGAGCAACTCCGAGACGAGAGACCACCATTCGTACGAGAACGTGCATTTCCAGAAGAACACGAAGTCTAGGAATCAGTCGGACTCGTCGTTCGAGGAGATTCACATACCGAGGGTGACGCCCAGGAAGAGGGTGACCGACTTCAAAGTCGGTGGACAGGTAAACAATTACACGAACGGGCCTGGATCGCCGTGCGTGAACAAAGAGGATGGCCCGTCTAGTCTGGGTGCTGAAAGGAGTCCTGGCAAAAAGACGACCAGACGAATGAACAGCAGAAGCGTGGCGAATATCCCCAGTTCCTCCGGTCCCGGCTTGAAGACTTGGCAAGTGAGTGAAGAACGAAGAGACTCGCTATTTTCCTCTTTTATTTTTATTTACTCGTTTATTCCTCTATTTTTTAAGGGCACGCAAGACACAGACGAAGGCCTGAATACCGACTCCGAACTCGAAGACATCGACGAAGCTGGCGAGGGTGAAGAGTCGAGATTCTGCACCCTACCGAGGCCAGGCAAGGGTGGCGCGTCATTCACGATACTGACGGCCAGATTTCTAAAGGGTCCTGGACACAAAGGACTCGGTTTCAGTATCGTCGGAGGTACAGACAGTCCTCGAGGTAACATGGGAATCTACGTGAAGACGGTCTTCCCTAATGGCCAAGCTGCCGATCTTGGAACTGTCAAAGAAGGTGCGAGATACGATGGTAGTTGCTGCGGCTATTCAGGTAGCTCGGAATGATAATGATTAATCGAACGTGAAATCTCGAATGTCGTTTCAGGGGACGAAATTTTGTCGATAAATTCGAAACCTCTTCACGGTATGACGCACGCCGAGGCGATTGCCGAGTTCAAGTCCGTGAAAGCTGGAGACGTGGTGTTGCACGTCGGACGTCGCGTGAACAGAAAGAAAAGGGACTCCCTGACGTTACCGCCTGCTGCTCCAACGCCACGTCAGCAAGTCAAGTGAACCGTTGATCTCCTCCTATCGCATTCCGCGTGAGAACGTTGCGTTTCCGCTTTGTATTTAAGCGCTCCGGATGCGCGCGAAAATCGAAACTCCGACATTCAGAAGGACCATAGCCTATAATCCGCGCAGATGCTCTATTTCCATAAGCAATATCGTTCATTATTGCTGGCAAGAAGGGAAGCGGGACTGCGTTGATCCCGCGCAACAACGAACCAACTTCATTTTTACCATTTCCGGTAATGTTCTCGGTTGTGCACGTGCGTTTCGAAATGCGTTTGGTATATTACTGCTTCCTAAGAGGATGCCGCGACGAAGGTTACGTTTTGTATTTTGCGTCGGAAGAATTTCCGCATTCGTCGTTCGAGGTCCTTATTTCGACAGCGTTGTGGCGAGAAACGTGCGAACGGCAACAAATTTCGGTGCCAATACCGTGGCGCGTTCGACGCGATGGAATTTATGCAAAACGAATCGAAGAAGCGAAGGACGCGCCGATGCTGTTGAAACGAGGAACTCGGGTATGCGTTTATTCGCGCGAAAGCGTTTGCGAAATTTTCGAGAGAAATTTGTAGAATTTCACGGCAACCAGGAACGTATCGTCGTTCGAATTCGTAGGGGTGGATCAAAGATGTCTCGAAGCAGCATAGCCAAAGAGCTATGGACAAATCAAAACGGTGTAATCCTATGGTATCGTACTATCTACTCGTATTCGATGTACCAATGTATCTGTCGGTAACTTTTAATCGTTCTCTCAGTAATCACCGAAGTCACTATTAGCGTTAGTAGCTGTTTAAGGCTCTAGCTTTCATACTCTTTTCTCGTATCGAACTTTTTACAAACAGAGAGTGTATTTTTGTCGAAATTTACTCGCGTTTTACCCACGGACGAAGTCTATTTTTTAAAATGATCTCGACGTTGAATCGAACCTGCGCGAACGTAAGGAAGGATCCGAGTCCTCCGGTTTAGTAGCTAGCAGACTGCGAATTATTTTTCTAAGGCTAGAGTTCGTGACGCGAGAGAAGAACGTAGCCGGGAGTATCGCGTCGTGAAACACGAAAGGCACGTCGACGAGTCGACGTAGTCGGAAATGTCACGACGAGTACGACCACGGCGACGCTCTCGAGGCGTCGGGACGCTGCGATCTCGGATCGATGGAACGCGCGTAACAGGATGTCCAGCTTTCCACGTTGTCGCGAGCAAGGATCGAATTATTTTTTAACTACCTTTGCATAGAGTAACGATGATCGCCCAAAGATGAAGCCCAAAAAATATTTTTACTACGAGGAGAAGGAGACGTATAAAACGGAGAAACGCATATCTATAGAATTATATATATATACATATATAGAAATATATATTTTGACGGATCGAACGAGACGCGTTATTATTTTAAGTCGAAGAAATTGTTATTAGCATCTAGTCCATCTGTAATATTTCGTTTCAGCAACTCTTCGATTCTTTTCTTTACTTTACTTTCGTCTCTTTTTTTATCTCTCTTCTTTTACCTTATATAGTTATCGATATCGGGAGAATAAACGAGAAAAAATATATATACGCATACATATATATCTATACGGTGATATACGCTATATTTCTTATATCGATTTTTCGAGGTGTAACGAAGGAACGCGAGCGATCGGTAAATCGGACTTGAAAGTATCGCCAGTTGAGTTTCGCCTCTAGACGATTGCGTATGTACTCCATGATTGACCGAGTGAGGAAGCTTCATTTTTCAACACCCGCGACTCTCTTTCCCAATTTCTCGGCACGAGAATTCGCTCGAAATAGCGCGAGATTTTACAAAGGAACATTCAGCGTTGACGACAAATTTTCTTCCTCGTCTTCCTAACGGACCACGCGTGTATTCGGGCATCGGGATCCTCGCTGATGAAATCGATCAGGGGAAACGTGGACAGGATGAACGAGAATGTATTGAACCGTTTCTTTTTGGCTTTATTAACCATATCCGTGTCAACGATGTTACAAAATACGATTATAAAAATTTCTCTGTTCGTAGTTTCTACCCTGTTACGTGTCAACGATTGGATTCGCTGAATTCGTGCGTGAGCTACTAGCCTTCCGGTGTATCCGATCGGAGAACGGCGGTGTATCAATCGTTCTGATTCATTCTGTTCGATGCTCCGCGAACGGCTTTCCGCGATCGATCAATGATCCATAGACCCGCGCGTGCAACATACTCGCGTATCTGTACACGCGTGTCACGCAGTACGGTTATTTTTTTATTAAACACAAAGGGAAAGGAAAAGAACTCTATCGCTCGACGTGTATACGTGTTTTACCATAAGTGTGTAAGTACAACTCGATGTTGTCGCATGGATACGAACTACTCGAAGAATGTTACTGTATTTTCTACTTACTATGCGGGGTCGAAAACAAATAAATAGTTCGCATAATGGAAACGCTGTTTGCAACCATCATTAATCCGCGTTCTCTTACTCCTTCCATTAATCGTTAGATAGGATAGAAGATTATTCCGTTCAGCCAAAACTCGTGTACTGTATATTTCGGTGATCCTTGAAGAACCGTGCGATGGATGGAGCCATGGATCGTGCGACGATTGCTAATGCCTCGCGAGTGGAACGAATTTCACGAAAGGAGAAAAAGGCGATCGCAATTGCGAGAGATCATTCTGGCGTACATAGCTGATCAGCGTGCTCGGCCTCCTCGAAACGAACGAACGATCTCCGACACCGATCGATACGGCAGAGTGTGTGTGGTCGTTCGTTGGTGTCCCTTGGTTAGTTCGAATTTCGTCGTGAATTAATAACAAAGCGAGAGGAGTAAAGAAATACGAGAGGAAAGGACAACGATAATAACTCTGCCCTAACTCGTCATGAGAATACGTGTCTACGTGTGAGATACCCTAAACTCTACATTTTTAATTATCATCCTCAGTCGATCGAGTCGAGCGAAAACCACTTCAGATCTCGTTCACGTGCTGATGAATGTTGTACGCCCTACCGCCCCTCCTGGACTCTTTCGGTACCACGGCCAGGTGTTGGGGCTGGATTTTCACCTGGTCGATTCTTCTCTCGTCCATACTCTTCTCCGACGAGAATAGCTCGGAGGGTTTCGAATAAACGAACGTCGTTTCGGCTCCGTTCGATTGGCCAATCGTCGCCGAGCCCTTTAGAACGTTGTCCTGAGCACTGAGCAGTTGCTTGAACCGTTCGTCGTTCTTTTCCTCCTGCTCCCAGTGAGCTCGAGCTGATCTAGAGGTCGTCGACGGGACGGCTCGTTGGCTCGTCTCGTGATTGGTCAGGTTTAGTTTCGGGTTCAAATTCAGCCCCAGCCATTGAGAGAACAGAGCTATACCTTGCTCAGCGCTCGCTGACACCGCGGCTATGAATTCCTCCGTGTTCAAAGGATCGTCCTCGTCCTCCGAGTTGTCGGTGGCCTCGGTCGACTCGGTGACGCTGCGAGGAAATTCGAGTAACGAGGAATTAACGGTGACAACGTTCGTAATCGAGATACAATGGAAATCGATCAGGAAATTAACGATACCGGGGCATCGGTGCAGCGCGTGTAACAGGACACGCGTCGGGTGTACCGATCTTGAAACAGTTTTTAGGATCGTACTCACGCAAAGGCTTCGATCTGCCGCACCACCTGATTGAAATTGAAGCATCCCATGTGGTAAGTGGCTTGCGGTGTGCCCAGCAGAGCAGGCTCGATCACCAGGCAGCCGTCGTAGCCAGCTTCCGCCTGCCTGATGGACGTAAATTTCGCGCATATTTGCGCCAGGTCCGACAGAAGGTTCATGCAGGTCGGTTTGTTGGCTGCGTCCACTGTGGAAGTTCGAGGCGTGAAAAATTCGAGTCATCGTTTATCGTGTATCGCTCGTTACTCGAATTAGGAGAATAACTTGGTTATTCCTCACCGATCTTAATGGTAGCATTGTGCACGGGATTGTCGCCGTAGCTAAGGTTCAACGAGATGTTTTGCTCCTTCTGCTTGACATTGATGCACGCTGGCCCACCCAGGTCGATGGTTGCCGTCAGGTTCAGATCGATGCAACACAAGCAGTTGGAGGTCTGACAGAGACATTGCGACTGTGGCGCGGTTGATCTGCCCATGGCATCCGGCAGGTCCCAGGAGAGCAGCGTCTCTGTGACGGGAAAAAGAGAAAAAAATACAAAGGGGCGGACCGGAGAAATTGGAGAAGAGAAATTGGAGCGAAACGAAAGTCGTGGATCGAGAGTCGAGGGAAAATATCGACTGCGATTTCCATCCCTTCGTTACGTCGTTGTTAGAGACTGTTCTCTCGACGGGCTGACACCGTTTCGACTTTACTCGCTTCCACCACCAAAAAGCTCGTCATTCTTCTCTCGAAACGGTAAACAAAGTGCGTGTACAGCTAAGTGTGCCGCGTCGATGAGTCAGAAAGATGTCTATCCGTGAACTTTCTCGCGTTACTGGGACAAGCTACTGACCGACGTCTTACGATACGCAATTTGATCACTGGATAAAAAAAAACAGGAGGGAAAAAGAACGAGAGAAAGAAGCAGCTGGAAAAATGGACGGTTAGGAAGAGTTACCATTAGGAAACGACTGAACGTAGACCTGACGAAGCGAAGAGAAATCGCGAACGAAGCACGCGCCCCAAGTACGCGCCATCACGTCGAAAATCGAGTTACCCCCCCGGAAGAGGGTCGTGATTGGTATGCGGACGTCGAACCTTTGTTTATTCGCGCGTTACGAATGAAACGCGCAACGGCGAACGGATCCTCGGTCTCGAACGTCGAACTTGCGGCGTTCGTTGGCTAGCATGTCCGAGGGATGCTGCAAAAACCGCGAGAAACGTTTGCACGAGAGCGTAACTGATCCGTTGCTCACCGAGCAATCCAGCGGCAGACACGACGACGACGGTGGTGGTCAGCAGCACCAGGATCGTGAACCTGACGGCCATCACGGTGTTCCCAAGATTCTCGTGCAGGGACGAAAGGATCCACGCGATGAACGGTTGCCGGGAACTCGCGGATGGAACCACCAAGTAGAAACTGTCAAAAGGATTCACACGTCGAAGAGGCTTGGAGATCCTGCCCAGCAAGGAAGAAGCTTAAATCTGGGCACAAAGCCGGGCGCGGGTCTCGGATCGGTGATCGGCTGGCGGTCGGCACGAAAACTGGCGACAGGATTGGCCACGGCGACGATGAGGTGCCACGCCATTGGCCGAGGTGCGGAGGTAACAACGGGCAAAGAACCTCATCTGGGTGACCGGGTGACCTCCTTCGGCAACCTGGTACCAAGAGAACTTATGCGACTGTCCTATCTACCGATGCTCAGTCTGGCCATTCGGGGCCCCGACAAAAAGCCGGTGCTCTTCTTTTCGAATGGCCACGATACCGTTTACAGCCAGCCAGTAAAAGCAATCTCTTTTTTTCTCCGTTTCTTTCTTTCGCAATTTTCTTTCGCCCCAGAGACCCGACGATTTCGTCGCGATGCCTCGTCGCGGGATCTTTCATGGATAAAAGTGAAAATCCACGGTGATCGCCGTCGGCGAGTCCGATTTTCGGAAGGTCGGACACCCGACGCGGGTTCTAGGCGAGACCCCCAGTTCGGCGATCAAGTCTGTTTCCTTCTCTCCATGCTCCTGTAACCTGGATCGGTACGAGCGTAACGACGGCGATACGAGATTAACGAGAGCTCCTTTTTCCCAGATTTTTCCTTCTTCCCTGGCAATTATATTTTCATCGGTCATGTCTCCCGGTATCCCCGGCTTTCTCTGATCGGTCGTCGCACGCGTTTATCTACGAATAAAAAGGCGTTAAACGAAAGGGGAAGGAAAAGAGTGCGCTCGGTTAGGCACGAGCAAACAGGAACACCGTCGTTCTGCTTGGACACCCGTGCAGCGTGCCACTTTGCAACCGTTGCTATCATCGTCCTTAATATTACCTCCGGACGTTATATAATTTATCTCCGCGTCGCTGTTTTTTCCGATTTCAGCGAACACGGAATGCCCGATTTATTCGATCGACGATCGATTTCTTTTCCTGTTTACAAACTCCATCGGGCTACTCCCGATTGTATTACGGTTTCGAAACGGGGCCCCAGCGTCCGAACAGATTACCCCGTGACGTTACGTAAAAACTCGTTTCCCTTGATGACCCACATCCCCGCGTCGTTCACCTCGCCATACCGTTTAGAAGCCCGGAAGAGCAAGCGTTATCTTAAAATACACCGGGCCGAGAGTCGGTCGTGTGCATCGTCGACAATAATTATCCAGCCTTCAGCAACCCTTGGTCGCCTGAATTCCATTGTGGAGCCTTCGCTCTGTCGGGCAAGTATTAACCAAGGTAAACCACTCCTGACCACTACTTTCTTCGACCTACTAACCGGAGAAAGGACCCACCTCGACCACCAAAACACGCTTCTCCCTGACTGCTCGAAAGATCTTATCCGACGAGCGGACGTTTGTCATCGTGGTGCTCCTACTCGAAAATATATCACCGGGGCAAGAACGAGGTTCAAGGTTCGCAAGGCTAGCCCCGTTCCTCGCGGGACCAACGACCATTTTGAAGGTCGACGAAAAGATTCGAGTCGTAAAACGTAAAAGGCGAGCTGCACGCCGAGCGAATGAAGAATTTCCGGCATGCTCATTGTGGATGCACCGCGATCGCTTGTAACTTTATGGCGATAGAAATTGCTGCGAAGTGGCACTGGCTATTAGATCCTCGCGATCGAGGTTTGTATTATACGTCCAAACACGTGGAAGCCTACATAAACGCCTGCAGCGTCGCTCAAACTTTGCGCCACTGTGCTGAAGCTGAAAAAGGAGGCGGGAGAATAATCGGGCCGGTCTAAATCGTTCGATTAACACTATCTAGGTGTAACTGATAAGCGTGGTCGTCACGTGGACACGCTCGTGGATGCAAATTGGGAACCAGTTACGCACGGAGGAACGGAGACTCGCCGATTTCGATCATCCCGATCTCGTCGTGTCGGATGAATCATCGTGATATCGTTTCGAGAGTAAATCTTTCATCGGGCACGCGAGGTCGACAACAGTCGATGATGGCGTACTTGACCCTGGCGTCGGTTCAAGGTGAGACGAGAAGCCGACTTCCGTTTCGATTTTCAACGTCGAAACGACGAAGACCCTGCCGGGGATCTTCCACGAGCGACGTACTGTCCCCCGGCTGGTGGGGAATCGTCTTATTTACCTAGAGCGTATTAGAATACTTAATAATCGTAGCCTCGGCCGAGGCAGGTGGTGGTGGGTTGACCGACTTTTAAAGAAACCTTGGGGGGAGTTGGGAGGCATCTTCAGTTAAACATTGGCCTCCGTAAGACGAAGAGTCGGAAAAAAGAGCTGAAGGGTGCGACGAAGAGAGACGTCCTTCTCGAACGATCGTTTTGCATCCGATACGAAATTTTCGTCTGGAATTCCGTCTCTATCGCACAGGTCAGTGTAAACTGGTTTCCTAGTTTCACTAATTTCTCGTTTTCCTGACACGTTTGCGGTTTCTCGAGGCGGCCATGTGCTCGCGGAGGCATCGTTCGATCGGCTCCTCGATTCTTAACCTCCGGCCACTCGTACTCTGCGTTTGTTGACTTTGATTTCAAACTCCGCCGATACAGTTAAATCTCCTGTTACGTTATTAAACGTAATCGGTAAGTCCGGCTGCTTACATCGATCGAACGCATACCTACGCATACCGATCACCGTTTCTTCCAACGTGACCGCATGACGTTCCGCATACAGGCGATTGACGCATGTGCGTGCTTCCTGGAGCGCGTTGTTCATGTACCATTCGAGCGGTAAACTCCTCGAGGGAGACGTCTTTGACCGTGACCGTGATTTAGGTCAACCGGTCGCAGACAAGAGAGGTTAGCGCGCGACGAGACGAGTCCGAAACAGGAGAAAATCTCGTTCCTCCTATGAGCTCGCTGCTCGAAATGATTGCTCCCATCGGGGATCAGCCGCGCGTTTCATCCTTTACCGAGTTATCGCTAACGAGCGTGAACACACGTGGTGGTATTCGCGGTGCTCTAGCAATCTCCGACGTTCCGTTAGCTTTCCTGTAATCCGGCACAATTTCTGGACGGCTCGGGTCGTTTCGCGTGTAATCGTTGATACTCGATGGCTTTCGAAACGGACGGAAGCTTCGCGAATTGCCAGCCGGGACATATGGTGTACCATCCTCGTTGAAATTTCGTTGAGAGTGCCGTGTCTATCACGCGCTGAATACCGATCTTACTCGTTGTAAGATCTCCCCTTTGTGCAGCGCCAGGAAAATGCGGTAGAATATCAATTTTAACTGTTGCACGTTGCCAGCAGCGTTTGAAAATTGAAGATCGTCGAAAGCACTCACGTCATCCTCGTATTCTGCGTTACAGGACGATCGCCAGGATGAAGGTGACCACGGTGGTGGAGCTGTTGCTGATTCTTCTTCTGGTCGCGTTCGCGGCATACGGCCGAGTGATCGGTAACGATTTTCGACAGTTTTGACATTGTTAACGCCAATTCTTCTAATGGCCTGGTAATTTCGCGTGAATGTTGGCTTCCTTGCAAAAAGGAAACGTTTATTGAAGGATTGGTGTTAATAAGAGATATAATTTCGAAGGATGAAGTCACTTGTTTTAGAGATCTAATGAACGCGAGTAACGTAAAAACTGGGTCAGAAGATTGGACGTGTTATACTTTGCTTCAAGTAGAGGATTACTTAATGCAGAGAACGGGCTTTAGAAATCTCTTGCATTTCGTTCTCTCGTCTCTGTTTTTCTAAAGTGCGTAAACGATGAAATTATTCACTCGCAGAACACGATGGGAAAGCGGAGGAAGGAGCAGTCAGAGATATGAGAAGTTCCGAGGAAAGTAACGCTGAGATATCAACGCTACCGTTGAAGCAGGCAACTGACACCGTTAACAGATACTGCACTTGCAATGAGAACATATGCAATTGTTGCAGGGACTTCCATATACCGCTGGTGCAATTTCAAGGTCCAGGTAAGGGTCGCGTAATTTAATTGTACGTAATAGAACGGAGCCATTAGAAAGCATAACAGTCGAGGAAACGAGACGATGAACGAGTTCCGCGTTACACTTGCTCCTCTGTCTTCATCAAAGACTCCAACGGAAGCATTGTTCGTTCCAGGATGTGCATCCTTGCAGTACCTGCAAGGGAACGAATTGGCCGTGCAACTTAGCTTCGGAAATAACATCCTGACAAGCACCATAGTAAACGGTAAGTACTCGTGTATATATTACGCAAACATTACTCGATCAAAGTAGTGGACGTTACGTGCTGAAAATCTCGAAAGACGAGTATTCATCTGTTCGAAGGCAGAAAACTTGTACTCGAGAAAAGTATGTTAATCGTTTAGCAACTCGGACTCGACGAGAGCCTCTCGAAATTCCGGAAACGCGTTCCGACTTTCACCTAACGTCTACACGATGCAGTTTTAGAACATATCGCGTACGCTTTATCGGTTCAAGCTGAACGGTCCGATCCGTGGACGTTGGACGATTTCACCTCGTCGAAACTGTGAACTAAATTCTACGCTGCAAATCAAATATTCATAACGCATCAACACCGATCGATTTGCGTGTCGTGACCGTTCGTAGCGAAAGTCCCGTGTACATCAAACGAATAAGCGTGACCTGTTTTTTAGGAAAGAGTCCCAAGCCAGTGTGTGTCCCGTTACCAGGAGGGTTTACGAAATTCTGTGGTAGGATATACTCTATCAAACGGGAGGCCAGGAACAATTTCAAAGCCTGCCTAGGGCTAGAGTTACAGTCGTCCACCGAAATCGAAGCTAGTTTGCGTGTCGGTTGCTTCAGGTAACGAGATTCGCTTGTTAACATCGTTTCTGTGACGATGACAAAAATGGCATAAAATATTTACACGATCGCGATACCACAGATTCGGTCCGGAAGGCGTGAACCTACGCCCAGCGGAGCCACTTCCGGTGATCGAAACCGAGGTTCCGGAAGAAGAAGAAGACGACGATGACCTGTTCGGCTTAGGCTCGGACGACGACGACGAAGAAGAGGATACCGACTATGACACACCGGTGGCCAACTCTGCGACGAATTCCTCGACGGAGGAAGAAGAGGAGGAAGATGACGACGATGTCCTCGGATTTGGCGCTCTGTTGGACATCATAACCGGCGATGACGAGACCACGAAGAAACCAAAAGGAACCACGCCTACGCCATTTCTCCAGTTCACTATTCCCATTTTAACCAAGCCAACATCGTCGCCTGTGAATTTTGCCAGCGTCGATGATGACATTGCCGCGAATGATTCGGAGGAAAGCAACGAATACAATCAAGAATCATCGAACGTGCAAGAAAGCGACGCTGAAGAAGAGTCTGCAGTCGATGATGCGGCGGAGGACGAAGCCGAAGAAGTCGTCACGGTTGTCTCCAATAAGATAGCTTCCTACGCGAAGCCGAATAAATTGCCGATGAAAAAGTTCACAGCGTCGAATGCGAGTAAAAAGAAGCCAAGCATCACGGGTTCCAGTATCAACGCGATCGAGAATGAAGTAAATAAGAAGAAACCCCTGAAGAAGCCGGTGAAGGATGACGACGACGACGTCGACGATATTCTAGAAGACGATCTGGATGAGGACGATGACGACGACGACGACGAGGAAGAGCTTCTGGACGAGGATGACGAGAAGAATAGCGAAGAAGAAGACGGAGACGAGAAAGTGGACGAAAGTGAACAGGAGAATCACGAGGACGAAGAAGATAAGGCTGAAGTCGAAAGTTTGGTCGACGACGACGACGACGACGACGACGACGAAGAAGAGGATGCGGTAATCAGTGCTCTGGTTTATGACGAGAAAACGGACGGGAAAAAGAAGGGCAAGGTGAAAAAGCATTATCAGACGATGGAAGCAGACGATGATGACGCTGATTACGGATTAGGGCTTACCGGGCTTTTAGCGAGAAGCAGGCATTCGAGAAATAGCCACCAAAGTAAAGATGTGAGACTCTGAGACACGAATTCAACCGCATTCCGAAACCATTACTAGGATAATTAAAACAGGTGATTCTACAGTCTGTGAATGATTGAACTCTTGAGGAAAACTTAAGATAAATCAATTAACGTCTTGTCGTTGCATTATTAACGTTGATTCTACTCGAACAAAGGATAAGAATCCATGTTATCATATCTTACCATTATTTATGATATTGTAACTATTTCTTATCATTATTTTTCATTAGTTACAAGGGTGTTACTATTATAATATTTCTAATAAATAGTTAGAAATGATCGTTCTCCATGAAGTAAGCCATATGAATTCGCATTAAGTCAGGTATGTATTTATGTGTACTTATTTAATTAATTTATTGAAACTGTAATTAAACTTGTTAAATAAAATAAATAATTTATCAACTATTCGATCTGCTCACGTATGATCTTCTAACCAACTGTACAAACATAAGTGTGCTACAAGTGTACACATTCTCACTAATGGTACAAAATCTATAATCTAATCTATTTAATTAATTTACGGCTAGAAACGATTGGCAACGGACTTTCTCCTTCTTCTTTGCCAGGATCATGTTGCGGAAACATTTCTCTGATGTTGCTCGCAATGCAGTCTATCTATAGCTCTAGGACTAGGTTTTCTAATCGTTTATTTTTCTTAATTCAATTATCGCAGAAATCCATTAGAAAATAACACGCAGATAAGCAGCGCAAAACTTACTTAAATTTCTCTAGAAAACAAAGTCAGTGTGAGATATTAACTTATTAATCGAGTGTCGATTACAATCAACGAATGCAATCAAGAATTGTCGAACGTGGAGGAAGAAAGCGACGCTGAAGAAGACTCTGTAGTCGCTGATACAACGATGAACGAAGTCGAAGAAGTCGTCATGGTTGTCTCCAATAAGATGGCTTCCTACGCGAAGCCAGATAAATTATCGACAGAAAAATTCACAGCATTGGATGCGAATAAAATATAACGCAGCATCACGAGTACCAATATCAACGCGATGGAAACTGACATAAATAAGAGGAAGAAACTCTCGAAGAAGGCGGTGAAGGGTGAAGATGTAGAAAACGAAGAGCTTTTGAACAATGGACAATGATGATGACGATGGCGATAAGAATGGCGAAGAAAAAGACGAAGAAAGTCGATGAAAGTGAACAGGAGAATCACGAAGACTCGAGAAAACTCGAGAAGACTCAAGAAGAGAAGGCTGAAATCGAAAATTTGGCGAAATAGAAGATGCAGTAATCAGTGCTCTGGTTTATAACGTAAAAGCGAATGAAAAGCATTATCAAACGATGGAAGCAGACGACGATGACACTGATTACGGGCTTCTAGCGAGGAGCAGGAATTCGAGGAGTAGCCATCGAAGTTAAGGTATAAGACTCTGATTCAGCTGCATTCTGAAACCACGTAATGAAATAATTAAAGATGTTATTACAAAGTCTGTGAAAAATCGAACTATCGAGAGAAACTAAAGATAAATTAGTTGTCGACTTGTGGACCCATTGTTAACGTTGATTAGAAGCGAAAAAAGGATAAGAATAGACGTTATCATTACATCTTATCATTGGTTACCATTGCATTGTTGTATTTCCAATAAATAGTTGCGAATTACCAGCGAAGTGATTAATAAATTCTTGCTCAGTCGTAAGTAATGAAGCGTGTCAAATAAAGTAAGTAATTTCTCAATTATTTAGTCTGTTAGCATATGATCTGCCAACAACCATTGTAAACACAAGTGTCACTAGTGTACTCCTTCGGTCCCACCAATCATCCAGCGAAAGTATATGATCGGTTAGAATGAAAGTGTCATCGTGTCCTTTCATCACAACCCAATTTTAGTCTCCGGTCAGAACCGATTGGCAACGGACCTTTCTTTTTTTCTTCGCCAGAATCATGTTCTCCAAAGTGTTCAGCATTCTTCTGGTGTTCCTCGCGATGCAGTCTATCTGCAGCGCAACGTCACACGAGCAAGACACTGCGATAGGTAACGAATAATATTTTCGCACATAAAAGAAACGTAATTTAAACGTAGAAATTAATTTTCAAAAGTTACTTCGTTTCGTAGAACAGCCTTATACTGAACTTAATAAATTTGTACAGATTTGTCGCAATATCCAGTATCGGTCTACAATCCAGAGACAGGAGTTGAATACAAGGCTATGATTGTCAATTTTAAGCAAGACAATTCATCTGTTCTATTAATGTACGGTGGTTTACCGTGCCACTGTGAAAATCACGAGTGTTCGTGTTGCGCAAGTATTCGTATGCGAAGTTTGAATTGGAAAATGTGTTTAAATGCAGTGATTCGTCCGCAAATACCTCCATTCACATTGTCATTAATTGTAAACGATAAAGTGATCATACAGAAAACCCCAGGCTGTAAGTATCCCACGTCTTCAGAAATATTTTTTCTTGTATCGACTTTGAAGTATTACTCGTTCTATTCTATACAGCCGTCGAGTTATTTCTTAAGCGACATATTTCGATTATTGCAGCGGAAATAGAATTGTTCTGCGCTGGAATCCGACTATCTATGAAAGTTTGCACCGGTTTGAAGAATATTTACATCGATAAACGAAATGCCCATTTTTGTGCCGAAGTGCATGTGAAATTGATGTGGTTCAAGATATCGTTATTTTATAAATGCATCAATATAAATAGCCACGGAATTTCTATAGAAAACCTCTTGCTAGACTATAATCAGACCATCCCGCAGATAGAATATCAACCTGACGAACCGGAAGTGTACGACGCAGTGGATTTCGAAGAGCAGGACCTCGAACTTTACAACACGACCAATGACACGCTCTCTGTCGACGAAGAGGCACAAATTGGGCAATTAAAGCTCTGATAATGAGGAATACATTATTGTAAAATGTTATCGGCAATTAATATTTATAAATATCAAAATTTATTATAGAACAAAATCATTTATACTATTCTACTTAAGGACAGTAGCAATTACTTCTTCCATGAAATGGACGACGCAATGTACCTGGAATGCACTGATTTTTACTCTCTTTTACCAGTAAAACTTGCGTACTGTATTACAATGCTCTTATAGGTATAATTATGTTATTATATTATTACGTTATGTTCTTATATGTATTAGGTATGTTTATATTTCCACGATAGCCTAAACTTTTGTCGCCATTAAAACGAATAAATTTGTCATTTTATTATAACGTGATTAACATACTAGAAATGTGTTAGGGAAACCATTAATGTTCCTCACTAGTCATCTAGGCCAACTGTAATTACGTAGTCAAATAGCCAAATATATGTCTAATCAGATGTAATGATTGTCATAATACTTCGTCTGCAACATATATTAAAAATCAAAAACCATAATACACTGGACTATCAGCACCAATATCACTTATGGTCCCCATTGTTGACTACTGTTTTCTACTACGTATACCCTGCATGTGTTGCGTGTGGATGTCGATGGATAGTCGTTTCCTTTTCTTAATGCGATTATCAAAGAGATCCTCTAGAAAATAACACGCGGATAAGCAGCCCGAAGCATACCTAAATTTCTCCATAAAACGAGGTCAGTGTGAGATATCCGTTAACTGATCAGTCGAGTGTCGAACGTTCAACATGGAATACTATAGTGCGAAGAGATGTCCTCTCATAGCGACTGAGGCCGCATCGTCAAGAACAAGAAACGAGGACCCTCTGCTGGTTGCTATTGCTTGTCGTTCATTGCATACAAAGCACTTTGCAACGGATTAACGAGACATCCATTAATTCGTTAGCGAAGTCAGAAATATCCGTGAATAATGGCGCTCTACGTCATACGAAGGACGAATACTCGAAAAAGAATGAGGAAGCCTGAAACATAAAGAAGTTCCAAGAATTACCAAGACCAGCCAGGTGAGTATTACGAAGCAAAGTCCCTGTCAATGCAGAAACGTTCACACGTGCGTGAACATGGAAGGGAAGCTTAAAGAGAGCACGATACTTAAGGTAAATCACGTGAAATTGGAGTTCCGGAGGGAAGAGACGCCTCCTTTCTTCAACGTTTTATGAATAATGCACATATTTCCAGATCTGATTAGATTGCACTATATTCAGTGCAAACGGCTAGGTCAGGATGGCGTGAACTAGCGTCCAACAGAGCCACTTCCGGTCACTGAAAGCAAGGTTCCAGAAGGTGAAGACGATGATCCGTTCGATTGGGTTCAGACGATAACGACGAAGAAAGAAATGCAGGAATCAGTACTCTGATTCATGAACACAAAGGAGACAAAGCATTATCGTACGTTCGAAGCAGATATCGGTGAGACGGATTATGGATTAGGCATCACTGAGCTTTAGCGATAAGCAGACGTTCTGAAAGTAGCAATCATAGTAAAGATATAAGACTCTGAGACAAATTCAATTACATTTCGAAACTAATCGTAGAATAATTAAAACAGGTGTGTCTATAAAGTTCATGAAAGATCGAACTATCGAGAAAACTTGTAATAAATTAATTAAATTAATTAATGGGATGCATTGTTAGCGTTGACTATAAGAAAACAAAGAATAAGAGCAGATATTATCATATCTTATCATTATTTATCGCAAATTTAATCCTTATCGTTGATTATCGGTAGTTATAAAGGTATGGAAATTGTCATATTTCGAATAAAAGTTTATGCACTTTCGTTCTCCGTGAAGTGGGTCATATGAGTCCGTGCTAAGTCAGGTATGAATTTATATATATGTACTTATTTAATTAATTTATTGAATCTTCAATTAATCGTGTTAAATAAACTAAATAATTTCTCAACTATTCAATCTGCTCACATTTGATCTTCCGACAAGTACTGTAAGTACACGTGCCACGAGTGTACTCATTTGGTACCAACAATCATCCATTGAAAATTTGTAATCGCTTATCACGAAGTGTCGTTGTGTCTTTCCATCACGATCTAATTCGAGTCTTCGATCGAAACCGATTGACAACGGATCTTTCTTCTTCCTCTTCATCAGAATTATGTGGCCGAAGTTATTCAACATTCTTCTCGTGTTCTTCGCGATGCAGGCGATCTGTAACGCTAAGCCATACAACGAAGGCACTAAAATAGGTAATTAATAATATTTTCAAACACAAAGTGGAACGAAATGTGAATTAAACGTAGAAATTAATTTTAAAAGATAGGTAAAAGATAGGTAGAATAGATAATTAATAATATTTTCAAACACAAAGTAGAACGAAATGTGAATTAAACGTAGAAATTAATTTTAAAAGGTAGGTAAAAGATAGGTAGAATAGATAATTAATAATATTTTCAAACACAAAATAGAACGAAATGTGAATTAAACGTAGAAATTAATTTTAAAAGATAGGTAAAAGACAGGTAGAATAGATAATTAATATTTTCAAACACAAAATAGAACGAAATGTGAATTAAACGTAGAAATTAATTTTAAAAGATAGGTGAAAGATAGGTAGAATAGGTAATTAATATTATTTTCAAACACAAAATAGAACGAAATGTGAATTAAACGTAGAAATTAATTTTATAAGATTACTTAGTTTCCTGGAACAACTTTACAATAAATTTACTAAATTTGCACAGATCTGCCCCATTTTCCATTGTCGGTCCGTGATCCAGAGACCGGAATTGAGTACAACGGAACGTTTGTCAGTTTGAAACAAAATGGTTCACCTTCTGTATTAATGTACAAAGATTTGCCGTGCCGCTGTGAAAATTTCAAGTGTACGTGTTGCTTAAACATTCAAATGGTGCATCAGAATTGGAACGTGTGTTTAAATGCAGCACTTCACCCTGAAGATCCGATACTCTTACTTTCATTGACCGTAAACAACGACGTGGTCCTAGAATACAACGTATTCTGTAAGTATTTCACGTTCTCAAAAATATTTCATTCCGTTTTGAGTATTACTCGTTCCTTCTTATACAGCCTGTGAATTGTATTCTATGCAACGTTTTACGATTATTACAGTGGATACATCGACTTATTGCGTTCGAATTTTTGATTGGAATTTCTTACAACTTTGCATCGGTGTCAAAGATATTCATTTTGACGGAAGAAATTTGCATTTCTGCCCCGAAGTGCATATGAAAATTTTCAACCTTCCCGAAATATCACTGTTTTATAAATGCGTCAACATTAACGCGGGCGGAATTTCTATAGAAAGCTTTCTGCTGAAATATAATCGAACCATCCCTCAGATAGAACATCAAGCTAACGAAATGGAAATGCACAACAAGGTGCATATCGAATAGCAACACTACTCTCCCGAGGAAGAGGTACAAATTGGACAATTAAAACCCTGATTATTAGGAATACATTAGTAACTAGAGTATTATAGTTAATTAATATTTATCATAATAAATTTGTTTATGTAATTGAGCAGTTAAAAGAAATGCAGTTAGTTAGAGAATTATATACGATGTACTACTTTTGTGAAATCCTTATGGGCACTTTTATCATCGCTGCTTACCATTTATCTCGAGCATATTTCCAATTTATCTGTAGAATGAAATAGTTCGATAAACTAATGTTTCGTAATAGAATGGAAGCTGAGAAATTTGTTGTTGGACAAAATAGCTTATACTGTGCTATTCAAGGAAAATATCAATCACTTTTCTGAAGTGGAGGATGACACAATGTGGTTTGTATACCTTTCTAGGTATAGAAATTACTGTATTTTAAACGATTTAACCCTTTGCACTCTAGAGGTGATCTTCAGTCACCATTTCATAAAATTTGGAAGATGGATATTAATTAATATATGAAATTTAATGTAATGTAACAGTGTGCGAAGTATCGAAATCAAATAATTCTACAATCCTATTATTATACAATTCTTTATTTACTGCTCAAATAGTATCGTCAGTGTTTTAGTAGAGAATCTTTGAATTTCTACTCTTCTCTAGCCAAAAAGTCGTCGAGTGCAAAGGGTTAAATTCTCATCTCATTATTAGAACTTGATAAGCAGATTGTATACGTGTTAGGGGAATTGATTTACATTGATTTACACCGCAGTTAAATTAGGTCAACTTTAATTACGTAATCGAATGGCTACATCTATGTCTTGTCACGTGCAATACTTGCAATGGTATTTCGCTTACAGAATTTATTAAAAATCGGAAACTAGAACATAGGTCTGTCAGCTGCAGTCTCCTCTACGTATTCAGTTTTAAGCTACTGTTTTCTACGAGGTATATTCCTAATCTGTTGCGCGTTGATGTCGATGGACAGCCGTTTCTTTTCCTTAATCGGATTACCATGGGGAATCCGCTAGAAAATAAAAGGTGGGTAAGCAGCACGAAGCGCACCTAAATTTCTCCATAAAACGAGGTCAGTATGAGATATCCGTTAACTGATCAGTCGAGTGTCGAACGTTCGACGAGGAATACTATCGTGCGAAGAGATGTCCTCTCACAGCGACTGAGGCCCCGCCGTCAAGGACAAGAAATGAGGACCCTCTGCTGGTTGCTATTGCTCGTCTTCCTTTGCATACAAACTTCTGCGCAACGAATTAACGAGACACCCATTAATTCGGAAGAAAAGTCGGAAATATCCGTGAATAATGGCACTCGACATGCGAAGGACGAATACTCGAAGAGGAACAAGGAGGCCTGGAACATGAAGAAGTTACAGGAATTGCTGAGGCAAGCTACGAATTCTACCTCGAACACGACTAGTCAGGTGACTGTTACGAGGCAAGGTCCCTGCCAATGCGGAGGAGGTGCTTGTGGTTGTTGCTCCAGAATTTTGTTCGATACCTGGAAGCAGAAGGCGTGCGTGAACGTGACGTATGATCCGGATGAGTTTAGCTTCACCGCGAGGATTATGATGAACGACAGGATTTTGTACACGCGAACTGTATCTGGTACGTTCGTTCATAAAATATTGGGTTGGCAAGAAAGTATTTTCGGTTTGCATCAGTAAATAATGATATGCTTGTTCAGATATTCTTTTGTCAATGTTAGAATTCTTTTCTTTTCAGATGTGGTAGTCGATACCTTTAGGTTGCCATTTCGTGAAATTCCGTGTAATTTCGTTCATAACTGTCAGTTCACGGTCAGTCTTTTTTACTTTTTTATTTTCATAAAGGCAAGAATGCGGATGAGGCTCGCAAAGAGATATGAGAAGTTTATGGTGTTGATTGTTTAACAGAACGCACGTGTCAGAATTAGTTTAAAAAATTTCGTTCTGAAGATTTTTCACTGAAAGATACCCACAACGTTCTGGTCGACCTTCTGAGATTTACGCACTTGGTTAAGTTTTTTGCAGATAAGGACCAGAAATTCTATGAGCGCGGGATCATGAAGTTACCAGAAAGATGGCAAAAGGTCA